GTTTGTATTGGATGATTGGAATTGGGCTTTGTTTTAATTGCTTATATCATGTTTTTGAATTTTCTATTTTTTTTTATTTTTTTTGCATTTGATAATTGCTTATATTATGAACGGTAAGAGTTGGGATGAACAGTTGCCATCTTGGATGGTAAATTTTACTTTACCCTAATTATGTTTTTCAAGTTAGAAGTTTTGTCTGCTCTATTGCTATTTTTGTTTTCCTTTTTGATCTTGTCATCGTCGAATTTGGTTTCAAATTAAAAATAACAAAAATTATAACGTATTTTTTCTTCAATTTAAAAATCCTAAAATATATTTTTAATGTAAAAAAATCTATTATATCAGACATGTTCGTTTTTGAAACAAAATTTCTATCATTGCACAAATGGAACGGAGGGATTTTAAATTCAGTGGTCCTAGACAATATTATAGCATTGTTTAATCAATTTGAAGACTATTTGCATTAGATACACAGAAAGCAAATAACTTTGGATCATAGGGTGCGTAAATACAGTGTAATAATCAAGTATGACTTTTTCATTTGGATGGAGGTTTTATATACAATAAGTATTTAGATGGACCAGTTTCATGTGGGTTTGGAGTGGGAAAAGAACCGATTGTATGGGAAATACTTCACGAAGTTATGCACGGGCATCCTGTATTGCTGAATAGAGCACCTACTCTGCATAGATTAGACATACAATCGTTTCAGCCTATTTTGGTAGAAGGGCGCGCTATTTGTTTACATCATTTCGTAAGGGATTCAATGCCGACTTTGATGGGGATCAAATGGCTATTCATGTAACCTTATCTTTGGAGGCTCAAGCGGAGGCCGTTTACTCATGTTTTTCTCATATGAATCTTTTAGGCCTATAACAAATTTATGTAAGCTTGGGGGAGTCAAATGTTAATTTTTTGTGAGAAAATACTTTTAAAAAGGGGCGACTTAGTGAAATTTCTAAAAATTTTAAGTTGTCACCAACCAAAACCAAAACCAAAACAAAAGAAGGCATGGAAAGTGGTGTAGACTGTAGTCACCCATGATCTTTATTTATTTATTTTATTTTATGTTTAAGTTGAAGCAAATATATATGTATATATATTTATATACTCACTCACTATATATTTTTAACACTAGTCACACGATCATCTTGAGTTTAACTCGATCATAGCCCACCAATAATCACATTTTTACGAATTTGTGGACTGGTAAAGTTGTGGTCTTCAGTTGAATTTATGTTATTGTAATATGATAATATGTGAGAAAGTAATAATTACGATAATCATTTATTTATATTAAAAGTAGAGTATTAGATAGGGTTTGTTTCATTCCTTTGATTCGGCCTAATTTTTCAACCTGTCTAACCCACCTATTTGTTGCTTCCATATTAGCACAAACAACTTTTTGGGCTAGACTTAAGATGTTTTAATACCCATAAATTTCTGGTGTGTGTCACTATGTATTTGGCATTATCCGATTTTGGTTCCCCACAATACAGTCTTTTGACATAATATGGTATAAATTAAGATTAATGATAGACATTTCGACATCCAACTAGTCGGATGTCTTATATAGTGATGAACAGTCTGTGAAACATCTGACAATCAGGTGTCTTAATGTTTTGAATTTTTTACAATATAATTAGTATCTTTTCCAACTTTTCCTATTCTTCGTATCAAAACTACGCGGTTTTGATGCACATAATAGGACAGTGGTTCCCATGAACACAAGAAGATCCGAGTTCCTTTTCGAAAATGAAACTCACTTGAAATTTTAAATAGCTGTGATTTTGGGCCCTCCAAACCTTGGTCCTAAAATCTCTTTGTCACTGGGCTTTGAGAAAATAACAATGACTACATTTAGCCGCGTTTCGGTTTGATGATCACAAGGCCCAAGGTCTATGGTCAGATCAAACTTTCTGACTATAGAGATTGGGCCTTATTATCAAATATAGCAAGGACCTCCATGTCCATAGGAAATCTAAACTCACGATTTGGGCCCATGACACGTAAAAGCCCATCCCTGTCATGTGCTCTGTGTGGGCCCACCTTTGTACCAGTTCAATCAGTGATGCAAATTTGTCAATTTGATCTGAATCCTTTTAATTCATCAAAATATAAACGGTTTCCTTTTCCCTTTCAATTTGATTGCATAATGGAAATAACCTCAGTAATGGCTTTTATATCCAGCAAAGATTTATTAATCCAGTTATTCACAGCCCATGAACTATTTCCTAATTAACGAATTACAAACACAATCAATTAGGAGAAAAATAAATAAAATAAAAAATAAAAAATAAAAATAAAAATAAAAATTGCACGATATACAAAATATAAAGATTTATCGTGCGCTAGCTTATTGGCTACGACCACGGTGAAGATTGAGAAAGAATTTTCACTATGCAAAGATTGTTTGAATATATATATATATATATATATATATTAATTACAAAGTCTCTAAATCCGGACAAGAACATCATTTGTCTTACTCTATCTCAATTTTCAGTATTCTCAATAAATAATACAAATCCTAACACCAGTTAACTCAGAAATTTTGTGTCATTGGATAATAAGAATAAGATTAAAAAAAACTGAACTATGATAATAAATACACGTGTAAATGTTGATCGATAATATATTTATTCAATACATTTATAATTATATTCCTCAAGTTTTCATATTTAGAAAATGTTGTATCAAATATGCTTCTCTCAATATATATATAATTATACTTTTCTTAATATATATAATTAAATATGCCTCTATGTTTTATATATATATATATATATTACAAAGAAGAAACGAGCTATTAGACCAACTTAGTCACCGCAATCGCAGGTCACTAACTTCCGTAAACTTGCTTCTTTTCCTTTCTTTAATTTTTTTTAATTTTTTTTTATTATGTGTGTGTGAGTTGGATGTTTACAGGATTTTGTTTTAAGAGTTCCAACGTAATCCAATCACGTTGTATTGGGAGGATGAGTCGGCAATTGAAGTTGAAAACCTATCATTTCTCTTTTATAATTATTAAAAAATAGACAAGCAAATTTTAAATAAGAAAAAATTTGAGTTAACGAGGCTTTAGCTGTTCTTAAGAGATTTAAGCTATTTTGTAATCAATATTATCAACTCAAGTACACCTCTGTATATATGTAATGCTGGTTGGCAGTAGAATGGAGAGAAGGGAAGTGGAAAGGTAAAAGTAAACTATAACACCTCCATTTTTGATAGAGAGAGGAAAAAGGAGAGGAGCTATTAACATGAAAGAAAGATAAGATTTTTCCTTTACTAAAGTGTGTCGCTTCCACCAACACCCTCCTGCTTTTCCTTCCATTATATTTTTATCATTCTTACCAAACAAGACTTTAGTATGAAAATAATACTAATAAAAAATCCACAACCACAATGTTAAATTTCAATGAAGTATTCCTTTATGCATGAGCAGAATTTAGGCTCCATGTAAATTTTTATTTTTATTTTTATTTTTTGGTATTTAGTTGTTGTAAAATATTTACAAAAAAAAATTAAAATCTAACAAAAATAAGTTTTCTATCAATTTTCGACAAGTTATTTTATACGCTTGCCGATAAACTCGATTTCAAGCTCTAACCAGACCTTTACCAACATACTGAAAAATAAAAAATATATAATTTAACTGAAAAAGAAAAATAGGTAGAAATCTCATGAAAACAAATATGGACTACTAAAAAATAGGTGCGAGAGTGAGATTTAGCATTTGACAAGCATAAAATTAAAATCTAACGAAAATAAGTTACCTTTCAATTTTCGACAAGTTATTTTACACGTCCGGCCAATGAACCAATGAAATCGACCTTAAGCTCTAACTAGACCTTTACTACAAACACTGAATAAAAGAAGAAAAGTACGTCAAAATCTCATGGAAACGAGTATGGGCTACTAAAAAATAGGTGCGAGAGTGAGATTCAGCATCCGAAAGGCATAAATGTAGTTCTTGTTCATTGGTGGTTGTATTGAATTCCAAATATATTTGGAATTTGAAATCTTTACTTCTAATTTAAACTTCAAATCGTGAAATTGGTGAATTTCAAATTATAATTCAATTCCAAATCCGAATTCATATTGAACAACCATGAGGCAAAATTGAAATTCAAGGCTCCAATTTCAGTTTCCCAATCCTATAGTATCGAACGCATTCCTAGTATACCATTCATTTTCTCTCTCTCTCTCTCACTCTCACTCTCTCACACACACACACTAAAAATGCACGTCTACGCTCCACTATGGGCCCAATTCAACCCCAAAACTAGGTCCAATCAAATGCTAAATTTCAAGAAGCCCATTTGCAGCACACGAGTTGTCCCCAAGAGCTGGGTCTAGGCTTTGCAATCTTTTAAACCATACCAACTTCATATCAGTTTCAGTTTGCTTCAAATGGTGAAATGCCAATAATCACCTAGAGCGAGCTTTAGTCTAGTAGTATTTCTTCACCTTCCAAAGAAAAGGTCTAGGATTCAAATTCCCACATGGACAAAATACATACATATATATATATATATATAAGAATAAAAGAATGAGACAGATATTATGTCCAACCAAATTCACGCAAGTGGACCACCCATTCCCGTTCAAAAATGTCTGGGATGCAACCAGGCATTTGTTATGTGCACCTAAACAGGCAAATGATCGATTCATTGTGCTGCCCACAGCTGTAACTTTCATCCATCCTTGGTGGTTTTAAGTTTCTGGACACTTTTGTTATAATGACCAAGCAATATGCTAAACTATATACATGCATACAGATACGTGAATAGAGATACACACACACACAATCTCTATAAAACTTGAGAAATGAATAACTTCAATGTTAGAAAAGGGGATTATGTATGATCAAACACATATGCTGAACATATGGTCTGTAGGCCCATTTTTTTGCAATTAGAATTTTATAAAAGAGAATATCGGTATTCATTTAGTTCTATATTTACATATACTTTGAACAATAACTTGAAAATGCAGAGTAAATATTAAAATTTCACACACATATACTATCAAACTATTACTCTCTGCCACTTTTGTAAGGCATTTCATCAGTACTAAATTCGGACCACACAATACTGCAATTTACCAATAATAATACAACAAAATTCTTAGTCTCAAATCAGAAGATTCTTACGGCACTTTGGTGCAGGTGAGCTTCTCTTTGGATCCACATAGTTTCCCTGCAACAGAATAAGAAGTCAATTTCGAAGCAGTGGGGTGAATGGAAAGAATTTGTAAAGCTTGCTTGGTCAAGGATATTTGTTGTTTTTTCTGAGACTCTATATTTCAGGTCTAATACCCTTCACTCGTGAGCAAAAATGATACATGATGTTTCAAGGGTGTGACATTAGCTAACTTCCACCATCAAATTTGGAGTTGTAGAACACCACGGACCTCATGACATATACACATACACAAAAAGAGGAAAAATAAAACTGTGTGACATTATGACATAGAGCCTTTCATTTTGATAAAATGTTTTTCATGGAAACTACTTTGTATTTCTACTCTTGTACATGAAAGGAAGAATCATTATCCTTCCAATATTTGGTTGAAGATTTGGAAATAATTTAGTGATATCCAAAATACATGATAATAAAAGTTATATAGGCATGCATGAGAACATAAAATACATGATAACAAAAGCTATATAGGCATGCATGAGAACATGAATATAAACATGTTCAATTGGCAATATATATAGGCTGGTAAAGACATGTATATAAGCGATAACTGATGCACTAGTTATAAATTATGAACCAGGAAGGTTTTGGAAATTATTATAAAAAGAAGTCCAGACAACGGTGAATAATGTTATTTGGCAAGATTCTAATGTGGAGCTTGCCTAGGAGATAATTATCTTAAAGTTGTATTGCTGTTTTTACTTTTTTTAGTTTCTATGCTTGGAATATTTTGGTAATGTAGGATTTGGGCTGTAAAGTAAGCTAACTTCATTCCATTTTAACTGTTACTTATGTATTTTGGATCAGCTTGTTTGCTCCAAGCATTTGTCTTGGGCACAAAAAATCACTTGGCCAACGGTTTGCTAAGTCACTAAGTTCCTTGGTCCCTAAAATTTTATGAAGTGATGCATTAGCTTTGTATTGGAATACAGAACAAATAAATGTTTTAAAGCTCATTACTAGTGTGATGCATCTTGTTTAGGTTGAGCCCATAATAACCTAGCTGTGATTGCCTAGGCTTCTCTCTTCTTTTCATTCTCCTCTTTTTTCTCTCAAACCTTCCAAGTTCTCTTTTACCTAAGTTATTAGTTGTTACTGATCTAATTGTAGGCAACTGTTTGGGGCTTGAGATTAAATCCTATATCATATTTTATACCATAGCAGGTCAGCACCATGTCTTCTGTATAAGAACTTTTGAGGTAGGTTAACTAAGTATCAATGGGTCAAGCTTATATTTAGTTGTTGAACCTCAATCTTGGTGTGGGAGATCTAGAATCAATCTCAACATACAGGTCATTTGACAACCGATAATCAACGGAAATCTTTTTGGAGCCAAAGGTAACAAGAAGAAATCTAAACAAAATAGGCAGCAAGTGGACCAGCCAATTATTTCAGTATGTCAAGGTTGACTACCACAAGATGTGAAACACTGCAGAAGAATATTACAATAAAGGTGAAGATCAACCTGCCACACTTTAACAGGAGACTCAATCCAACAAACTTTACCAATTGGTTGTCTGTGATTGATCAATATTTTGATTGGGATGATTTGCTTTCTATCTTTCGTTCCCTCTCTTTTTCTTTTTCTTTTTCTTTTTTTTTTTCTTTCCTTCATGAATATGAAGTTGATAGAATCCAAAAAAATATGGTGAATCAGCCTTGAGGCAACATAGAAACATTTCAGACATCCACTAACAGCTTTTCGCAACTTGCAAAAGATGAAAGAAAAACCTTGAGAGATGCATATGAAGTTACGCAAACATCTTGTTGATCTCAAGTTAGGCAGCATAAAAGTGGCAGAGTCCATGCATAAGATTAATGAACTCAAAAGTTGAAGCGAATTTATTAAAGATCCCTGTTGTAACTCTGGCTAGATTAAAATCTTGCCAAAGGTCCAGTATAAGGAGAACTACTTGTAGGTACCAACCATAAACGGGAACAGCTTCCTAAACCAGAAGATAGCTGCAAAAGAGGCGAGGTGATCAGGGGCAGACCCAGGAAGTTCGGTTTGGGGGGGCCAAAACTAGTAGTATGAAATATGAATATAAAGTTTAAAAACATTAAAAATTATAACAATTTTTTCTTCATATCAGAAATCCTAACATAAATTTTAATGTAAAAAAAAAAAAAAAAAATCTAAGATAAAAAAAATTTATAAATAAAAAACATTTTAATTCATTAAGTGAATTGAAAAATATATCTAAGTCAATTTTTACATAGACACGTACAAAATAGACCCAAAAAAAAAAAAAAAAAAAAAAAAAAAAACTATCATATATCCAATCAAGAATAATTTTCTGTACAAGAGGTTTCAGGCATGTTCTTTTTGAAACGGATTCTCATCATTGAACAAATGGGAACGCGGCGATTTTAAATTCAGTGGTCTTGAACAATATTACAGTATTGCTCAATCAGTTTGAAGACTATTTGCATTAGATTCATAAGAAAATTATGTGAGTTTTGATGGGCCAAATTTCATGTGGTTTTGGAGGGGCTTGTAACAAATTTATGTAAGCTTGGGGGGCCAATTGTTAAATTTTTGTGATATAATACTTAAAGAGGGGCTACTTAGTGGGAATTTTAAAACTTTTGGGGGGTGCCATGGCCCCCCTTGGTCCCTCTTACAGACCGCCCCTGTAGGTGATGACAGCTGAGCTCCTAAATTAGCACCTTTGCAACCTAGTCGAAGACCCAATGATGCTAGAGGAAAAGGCAATGCTAGTGAAGCTATGAAAAGACTCGATAGGCATTAGGCAAGCAACATTAAACTCTGAGGCAGAGGACACGTGGAACATTAATGTGGCCCGAAAATGAAGAAAAAAATAAACCAGGGTACAATGAGCCAATGAGGATGATTTGGCTGATTGTGATGTGGAGAGCTCCCTTGCTAAGTTGTAATGGTGGTTTGACATAGTCTCGCTCTCGCCATCCTAAAGCCCGAGAAGGAAGATTGGAGTTGAACTGCCCTTTGCTAGGTATTTTTGACTTGTGGCGCAGGGTTCCGATACTTGGTCATTGATGGTGTTTCAACCTTTGGACTTTGACAGATTGAAGCTTTACACTGAATCAAATCCACAACTATATATGTTGCATGGGTCAACATCACCGCTATACCAGTATATCAATGCTTCTTAATTTCTAATACTTCCAATAGATATAAAGATTCTATTTTTTCTCATGAATGTTGCATACTACCAGGTTCACCTTGGTTCAATGATTCTGATGCGTACCAGTGTGCAAGAGAGAATATTTTATATTTAGCATATCATCCTCTACCTGTAGATTATTTAAGAACTATAGGAAATCAAGAAATCTAAACCAAAACAAGCAGCAGAAAAGCTTTCAAGAAGGTTCTTAACAAGAAGAAGCCCTTCCAATTGCTTACCAAGGAAGAGTTTTGAGTGCAAGAGCAAAGAAACAGGGTCAAAAATAAATCAACAAAGGGTGTACTGATCAGATTATGGAAGTTCTGAAAGAAATGGTAAAGCTGCTAAAGGATTTCCCTACTGTTGCTCTAAATGATTGATCGAATGCCACCCATCTGGCGCACAGTTGCTGAAATAGCAGCTCATTGGACTAATCCTACAAAAGCATGTTTAATTGAAGTGGCAAGTGAATGAGCTATTTGTTGGAAGGTTCATCTGAGAAGCTTAAGTTCATGTGTCGTTCCACTTTGTTGACACCCAAGGAGGACAAAAATCTGTGCAAATATGGGATTGCAATGCCAACAAAAAATTGCGATAAAATATCAGCTCCCCAGACAGATGGCCAATGATATGCCATAGATAGTGGGGGTTCTACCTTACTTTCGAAAATAATTACAAAAGTGGATAATCATTAGAGTCATCTGTTCTGAGATGAATGGAAAACAAGACTCAAGATCAAGATCAAGGATGAACTCCAAAAATGTATAGTTATTCATTTTGACTGATGCAACACACCTAGCACCTTTGCACAAGTGATGACAGATGTCTCAACCCTTTATTGATCATCTCTTGGATATGTATTTTTATGATATATATCATATTAATTTATAACAAACCATTGACTTATAACAAACCATTGATGAATATTTATTCCATCTCCAACAAGTAATAAGGGTTCTTCATCAAGAGAAACTCTTCATAAAGAAGTGTTCCTTAATCCGTCCTTGTCCTATTTTGGGTTGAGTGTCTGCTAGGGCAGTGGAAGCATACAAGAAGAAAATAAAAGCCATTCTTTAACGAAGACCAACTATATTAAATTTACATCGTTACGAGTTTCCACAGATTGGGTCACTTTCTATTGAAAATTATTCAAAATCTCAACACTAGTACAGCACCATCAGTTGCATGAAAAAAGGTATCAACAGGGTCACAGCTAGCTTATGAAGCCCTGAGAATGTGATGAAGCACGTTAAAGAATTACCAATGCTACAATTGCCATAATTTTCCGGACTGTTTGAAGTAGATTGTGACGTCTCCCATGTTGGTTAGAATCAGCATACACAGAGAACCATACTTCATGCCATCGTTAAAAACGGTCAACCAATGCATCACTGATTGAATAATTTTCAGTAGATGCATCAGACAAATCCAAAACATCACTAGGCTGAACATTATCAGACAGAATTTCATCATGCCAAATTTTGCTAATGCAACAACTATTAATAAAAAGAAAAAAGTAACCCATGCATCAGCCACAAATAAAAATGAGTCCATAAGTGTCCTTGGTTTTGGAGATTTGATTAGTATCCAACAAACAAACGATTCACCTATGAGAACTTTGACTAGTTGAATTCTACTATATGGGGATTAATCGAGAGACAAGATTGAATTCAATCAAATTAAAATAAGGTGTTACTCCATTAATTTGCCAATAAAATCAAGGAAAAGAAGAAATCAAAATAATTCATGTTTTGATGTTTGGTTATGGAGAAAATGAAAGAAAAACTCCCAACTTGTCTAAGACACACTAGACTATAGGAGATAAGAATGGAGAGAATTATTTAAAATTCCTTTGTTTTCCTTAGGTTTATAATTAATTAGTGAGCAATTAAGTATGATTGTTGAATAATATGAAAAGAAAAGCAAAATGAAAAGAAGGATCACCTTTTGCATGAAAGGTATATAACAAAGCTGCTGCCTCGGGAGTCTCCATCGTTTTTGGATGCTGAGGCAGGAAGGTTGTGATTGACGTGATCACCATCTTTAATATTCAAAACCACTCCATGGTTACCATTTGCTCCTGATATCTCAGTCATCACTTTTATATATCACAATATTCTAGACACAGAGAGAGAGAGAGCGTTATAGAGAGAGAAATAGAGATTTCTCAGGTATTGGTGTTTCACCGTGGAGTGAACAAGAGTACGGTGAGTACCACAAAACTTGTGCACATCTGGATAGAGCCCACACAATATATAGAGGGGGAGAGAGAGACATTTGGACCAGTTCGGATATATGAAAGTGTTTGACCATGACACCTCTTTATTTTCTCTTCATGATCTTTCTTATAGGAAATACTAATTAATTTATTTGTTAGTGTAGTAGATATCGTTGAAAAGAGAGCTTTGTGTGCTTTTAAAATCCCAAAATGTGGACAAAAGAAAAGGCATTGAAGGCTGCTTCAACAACCCACCGGATAAACAGAAAGACATGAATGTCTTTAATAAAGTCATAATGTTACTTCAAACCACCAATTAAGTCCCCACTCACTCCTAGTGAAGCTTTACCAATTACCAGTGTTATTTTAAGAGGGGCCACTGGGATAGGCATGATTTGAGATAGGAATGGACCGAATCCGAAACAATTAGGATATGAATTGGAACATTCATTTCAATAATCCGCTAGTAATATAAACTATGATTAATCCGATACGTCCATAGGCCTACTTGTGAGCAATCGGAACAGTAAGTTCAGCAACATAAAGAATTATTATTATTTTCGATAAGTATAAAGAATTATTCTTTTTAAAACTCAGTCGGCACTTTTATCATTTTTCATTATTTTATGGTTACTAAGTTATCAAAGAATTTGAAACCTCTTTTTGTCTTCTATAAGTATATGACATTGTAATTGAGATTTAATTCTCTAAGAATGAGCTGATTCCTATGAATTAAAAATATGCAATGAATGGTTAAAAGTAAAAAGTGTCCATAGTCATGAGAAAGAGCATGACAGAGACTTTGATCCTATTCCTATCTTATTGTTTTGTACTTTATCCATTGCTTGCTGTACGTTTATGCCAAAGCTTCTTATATAGTTTAAACCTCCGCTATCAACTGTATCCAACAAACAAACATGATGGAGCTCACCACCATATTAATAAAATAATATAATATATACATATATACATATATATATAATCTAGAATTGGAGAAAGTTTTAAAACCTTCGGCACAATGGCAGACCTTGAGTCATGAATATGGTGGTGAGCTCCATCACATTCAAGAATTGCGATGACTTCAAGGTACCATACTCCAGGGTGTTTAATTTAGTACCATACCCTGGATACCACATCGCCTTCCTAGAACTGTTTCGATCAACTTGTAAAGGAAAGCATAAGTTCCATTTTTTTTTCCCCTAAAAACACAAAAAAAAATATATATATATATATATATATATATATATATATATATTTTAACGACATACCAACTACAAATAAGTTTCCACTTAGAATTAAAGAAAGTTTAATATAAATATTGAGCCAAATTCTTTCAACAGGCTCCCAAATATAACATGAGTGTAATTTTTGTATCATTCAAGATTATTAATTACGAGAGGTTTAAACTATATAAGAAGCTTTGGCATAAATGTACAGCAAGCAATGGATAAAGTACAAAACAATAAGATAGGAATAGGATCAAAGTCTCTGTCATGCTCTTTCTCATGACTATGGACACTTTTTACTTTTAACCACTCATTGCGTATTTTTAATTCACAGGAATAAGCTCATTCTTAGAGAATCAAATCTGAACTACAATGTCATATACTTATGGAAGACAAAAGGAGGTTTCAAATTCTTTGATAACTTAGTAACCATAAAATAATGAAAAATGATAAAAGTGCCGACTGAGTTTTAAAAAGAATAATTCTTTATGTTGCGGAACTTAGTGTTCCGATTGCTCACAAGTAGGCCTATCGACGTATCGGATTAATCATAGTTTATATTACTAGCGGATTATCGAAATGAATGTTCCAATTCATATCCTAATTGTTTCGGATTCGGTCCATTCCTATCTCAAATCATGCCTATCCCAATGGCACCTCTTAAAATAATACTGGTAATTGGTAAAGCTTCACTAGGAGACATTCATGTCTTTCTGTTTTTCCAGTGCATTGTAGAAGCAGCCTTCAATGCCTTTTCTTTTGTTCACATTTTGGGACTTTAAAAGCCCACAAAGCTCTCTCTTCAACGATATCTACTACAGTAACAAATAAATTAATTAGTATTTCCTATAAGAAGAAAAAGATCATGAAGAGAAAATAAAGAGGTGTCATGGTCAAACACTTTCATATATCTGAACTGGTCCAAATGTCTCTCTCTCTCGCCCTCCATATATTGTATGGGCTCTATCTAGATGTGCACTAAGGCTTGTGGTACTCTTGTTCACTCCACGGTGAAACACTAATACCTGATAAATCTCTATTTCTCTCTCTATAACACTCTCTCTCTCTCTGTCTAGAATATTGTGATATATAAAAGTGATGGCTGAGATATCAGGAGCAAATGGTAACCATGGAGTGGTTTTGAATATTAAAGATGGTGATCACGTCAATCACAACCTTCCTGCCTCAGCATCCAAAAACGATGGAGACTCCTGAGGCAGCAGCTTTGTTACTATACCTTTCATGTAAAAGGTGATCCTTCTTTTCATTTTGCTTTGCTTTTCATATTATTCAACAATCATACTTAATTGCTTACTAATTAATTATAAACCTAAGGAAAACAAAGGAATTTAAAATAATTCTCTCCATTCTTATCTCCTATAGTCTAGTGTGTCTTAGACAAGTTGGGAGTTTTTTTTTTAATAAGTAGACAAGTTGGGAGTTTTTCTTTCATTTTCTCCATAACCAAACATCAAAACATGAATTGTTTTGATTTCTTCTTTTCCTTGATTTTATTGGCAAATTAATGGAGTAACACCTTATTTAAATTTGATTGAATTCAATCTTGTCTCTCGATTAATTGTTTGTTTGGAAATTTTGACACATATCTCTACTTGCCAAACACAAATTCATGCAACATAGTCTCACCAATCAATGCATACAAGAACACAAAAACAACTCAAATCTAAAACAACTTCAAGCGTTGTAAGAAGCATTTTGTAACTTCAAAATTCAAGCTAATCAAGTTCGATAAATCACAAGTAACGACAATTTCAAGCATAGCCAACTGAAGATTAAAATTTCACCTGGAACAATCCATCAATTGTCTCCTACAGCTTCTTTCGCAGCAAAAACACATCGGCCTCTTCGTACGCATACTCTGGATGCAAGTGCTCGTGCGGGACCTTCTCTGCGTCGAAAACCCGTCCGACGAGCTCCCAAAACAGCCCGTGAGCCTCCGGCGACCTCAATTGGTACCCTAGCAACACAACGCCAGTGTCCCTAACCAGTGCCTCCATGGCCGAGATCAGTGGGCCCACAGTTTCCTCTATGTAAACGACGTCGGTGGCGATGACGAGGTCGAAGGGTGGACCAAGGGCTTTGATGTGGTCGGGGTTGGTCCAGTAGAGTTGGGCCGTCTTTAGGGCTTTGCCGAGGACTGGCTTGTTGCGCTTGAGGTTGCGTTTGAGGGCCGGCATCACCGGGGCGATGTCGGTGAGGACGACGTCGTTGAGGCCGAGGAGGTGGAGGCCCATGGCGGCAGCTCCGCAGCCGGCGCCGAGCTCGATGGCGCGCTTGTTGCGGAAGTCGAGGAGGGAGGCGTAGGGGTTGGGGTTGGGGGAGGGGGCGGCGCACGTTAGAGGGTGCCAGCGCTCGGCGAACTTGACGAGGACGAGAGAGCAGGGCCAGACGGTGGTCCCCACGTGCATCGAGCCATTGTCTTGTTGGATCGAGAGGAGTGAACTGCCCACCCGGAGCTCGATCACCGGTGATTCTGTGAATTTCATCTCTCTTCTTTCTCTCTCTAGAATGCTCAGTGAGAAGTCTGGTATCAGTCTCTCTTCATTTTGGGCTGGTCTGGGCTTAAGAATATTTGAACCGTGGTTTATTTATTGCTGGCCCGAATCCAACCCAGCATTTCAAATGTGAATAATCCAACCCAGCATTTCTTTTTCTATTCTTCTTGCTCTCTCCCTCTAATTGATTTGGCTTGCATTTTGGCATGAGTTTGAATAAACTTATGTTATTTTTTTCCTGCAAAATAAATATACTATTTTTATAAATATAGAACAAATATAGAATAATAAATATAAAACACAGAATATGAGAAGGAACTAGGAGAGAAAGGAGCTTCCTATTATTTCTTCTCCTTCGGTATGTTCAACTCAATACATCACAAACATATATATACACAAAATTTTCACTCAAATTTTCCATTTCCTTTCCCTTTATCTCTTGTTTACCAATCACGTCTGCAATTATATCTTCCCACACACAACCACATACAGAAACTATACCTCATATAATTGGTGCAAAGTATTTAACACATGGACCCCACATGTATTATTACAACATTCCTCCTCGGGGTCCATCATACTATACTAAGAATATGTCTCGTTGAAACCTTGTTAAGAAAAAACCCAATGAATAAAACCTTGCAAAGAAAAAACCCAGTGGGATAAAAACTTAATGAAAGAAAAAGAATACAATATTCTTGTGTATATGAAAATGGTATTGCATGGGTTAAAACTGTCTCATTAAAACCTTACCAAGAAAATCCAGTGGAAGAGACCATAACGAATGAAAAACAGTACAGTATGCCAATGCCTTTTCAATTCAGTTGTTCCCCTTTATTCAACATTAAATACCATTAAGTCAACACATTCCAATAATGTTGTAGTTGGAAGCGCTTTAGTGATGTTAGATTATCACTCGAGCATATATGTTGAACGTCAATGTCACGGCTCTTCTGAAGCTCATGTGTGGAAAAGAATTTTGGTAAAATGTGTTTGGTTCTGCCACTTTCTATGTAGTATACTCTTACCCGTGCAATACATGTTGTATTATCTTCATATAATATTATTGAACTATCTTTGATTGAGTAGAGTCCACATAATTCCCAAAATGTTGTATCATAGACCTCAACCAAACACATTTTCGACTTGCTTCATGAATTGCGAGTATTTTTTTTGAGTGATTTGAGGAAGTTGCATTCATGGTTTATTTCATATATCGCCATGATATAGCAGTATCACCACAAGTAAACAAGTACCCTATTTGTGATCGGGATGTATGGGGGTCAAAAAGATAACCTGCATTTACATATCCGATCAACTAGAACTTTGATTGTCTTGAATAAAATAACCTCATATCAGTCGTTCCACGAAGGTAATGCAGAATGTGTTTGACTCAATTCCAATGTCTCCGAGTTGTTGAAGAACTATATCGTGCCAGTAAGTTAACTGCAAATGCTATATCAGGTCTGGTACAATTTCTAAAGTACATATTGTAAGGAACAAAAGAGCACTAATTGCACTAAGATATGGTACTTCAAGATGAATAATTTCTTCGTTTTCTTCTTGAGAACGAAAATGATCTTTCTTAACATCAAGTGATCGACAATTATTGGAGAACTCAACGGGTGAGCTTTATCTTTCAGTGTATGTTAACTGATGGATAAGAATTCCTCTTGATAAATGCTCAATTTGCAGGCCGAGACAAAATTTTGTTTGATCAAGATCTTTTATTTCGAATTATTTCTTTAAATAATCAGCAATCATGGTGAGCTCTTCAGGAGTTCACACAAGATTTAGATCGTCAATATATACAGCTATAATGGCAAATCTAGATTTTGATTTTCGAATTATTTCTTTAACTAATCAGCAATCATGGTGAGTTCTTCAGGAGTTCACACAAGATTTAGATCGTTAACATATACAGCTATAATGGCAAATCCGGATTTTGATTTCTTAATGAAAATGTATTGACAAACTGGATTATTCACATATCAGTTTTTTAGTAAATACTTGTTAAGACGATTGTACCACATACATCCGGATTGCTTCAATCCGTATGAGGCTCGTTGTAACTTGATCGAATACATGGTACGTGGTTTCAAGCTATTTGCTTTAGGCATTTTAAATCTTTAAGGGATTTTCATATATATGTTACTATCTAGTGATCCTTATAAATAAGTCGTAACCACGTCCATCAGATGCATATCCATTTTTTCTAAGATTGTCAAACTGATCAAGAAGCGAAATGTGATTGTATCCATCACTGGAGAATATGTCTCCTCAGAATCAATACCAGGTCTCTGCGAGAAACCTTGAGCTATAAGTCGGGTTTTGTATCTTAGAATTTTATTTTTCTTATTACGTTTCTGTACAAATACCCATTTACACCCTATAGGCATGACATCTTCAGGTGTCTAAACTACGAGTCCAAATACTTCACGTTTTCCTAATGAGTTTAGCTGCCTTTATTGTTTCTTTCCATTTTGGCCAATCATTTCTACGTTGACACTCTTCGACGTTTTGAGATTCAGGATCCTCATTATCACCTATAATATCAAAAGCAATTGCAAATAAGAATATATCATTAATAATAATTGTATTTCTATCCCATAATTCTTCCTAGTTTATTAGATCTCATTATTTTTAGGTACCAGTGCCTCTTCAGGGGCTTCTGCCACTTTCAGGGCATACGCTACTTCCGGGGCTTATGCCACTTCCAGGGCTTGCCTCTTCTGGGGCATATATCTCTTATGGGGCTACTTACTTATAAAAATTTAGATTGATCAATCATTTTCATTGTTCCATTTGCAAGTGTGGCCTCTTCAGGGGTGCCAATTTATTTATTTGATTTCTCTTGTACTTTTCTCTTCCGGGGAACAGTATCATTTACACCAATATGTCTACCACGCTTCTAGCGTGTTTTTCGTTTCAAGAAATTTAAAAACAAAACTTGTTTGGTAGAGTCCGACTGTTGCCAAAATTGCTGAAACAAAAATAAGAAATATGTTTGTTTGAGTCTATTTTGGATTTGTTTTGAATCTATATATATATATATATATATATATATATATATATATATATATATATATATATATATATATATATATATATATATATATATTAATATCATTATTATTTATATATAATAGTTCATTACCAATTTTTCTACACATTACCAATTTTTTTATTTTTATATAACACTTGTGAGGGGAAGAAAAAAGTATCATGTGATCTACCAAAAACAATTGGAATTGGTTGAGTTTGGTAACGTTTTTGTTTATGTGTTACTCATTTTTTGCTCATATTTCTACTCGTTTCTATTTCTAAGCGTTTTTGCTAAAATCAAAATCAACATTTGGTAAAATTTATTTGTTCCTTGAATTTTGTAAACATCAAACAAGAAACGCATTTGGCAATGAACAAGTACAGTTAACACATCCAACCCATTGTGTTGAAGTCTCAATCTTCTATCAGAATTAAAACTTCAAGCTATATATTGCAACAATTGCTGATCAAATTATATGATACCCCTCGATTCTACAGTCATGGGTGATCAAGTACGAGCACAAATCCGAGGGATAGCAAACAATCAATATGTAAACAAGCAGGAATAAAAACTGAATTAAGAATAAAATAATAATACGCTGAAAGAAATCTAAAATAAAAAAATCCATAAACTTTAAATAATAAATTAATATCATTTAAATCCTTCCATTACGTACAACTCGGAAATCCATCTAGTGGACCCCTAATAATCCAAAACTTATAATTAAAATTTCAGAATGTAAATCCAAAACTAAAAAGGAAGAACAACCTATGTAGTTGGAAGAGTGAGTGTCTATATCTGCATCAGCACGATCAAGCTCTAAGCCTGGTACTGGTGAACACCTGAAAAATAGGAGTAGGTCAGGCCCACATGCAAGTTCCAATCTACTACAATCCGTACATAAACCCGATACGCAGATACATCCTAAATAGCTCGGCAATATCTAAAGATAGTCCATATGTATAGATATACACACTATAGGATACTCACTAACCTACAGTCATCACACTTGAGTAGAAGGTAACACGCAAAAACGCCGTCGTGTCGTCATGCACACCCACACCTACCAGGGAACGTCTTTAGGTCTTGTTATCCCTCCATGCGATATACGCACCTTAACCGTGATTAGGAGACTCAAGCTCGTACCACGGTACCATAAGTATATATATAAATTCCTCCCTAATACTGAAAAGTAAAGCAACCATCCGTTATGTCGTTCAACTATTTTAGGTGACAGGACATGCATCCATGTAGGATTTAACTATTTTAGTTAATCTAATCCTTATGTATGAATGGGTAGGGATTAGTGTTGTGACCTAATCCATCCCTCCGTATGCCACTGTCCCATACCGGTGCATACATGCAAATGATCCATAAAATGATGCGTACTCATTTGAACATCAAATCCATCCATAACCAATCATAACAAAAATCAGATATATGCAAGATTTCATTATGTATTCCGTATATGATTATAATCATAAATCCTCCTTTTATATTGTTAAAGTAGTGATAAACAACTTAAAATTTCCACATCCATATAATTGATCGAACATAAATTAAAACAGTTCATCAATTAACATCCATAGCACAATATAATGACAAACAGAATTATAACTGAGCACATTATAGTAGAATGCCAAAAATATCTCCATACTAGTACAGTTAGTTTACTAAAATAACACTAGTAGCCAAAACCTGCACCATTCGCGACGGCATATCAATTAATGCTTAAATTACACGACGCCCCTTTTAATCCTCACTATAAATCCTGTGTCTGATACAACAACACTCAGAAATCTATACAGAGTACATCTTATGAAACCCCAAAAGTATTCCCATACAAGTCCGTTCAATTCGCTAAAATAAAGCTAGCAACTAAAACTCCTACAACTCTTGTCGGCATGCAACCTATTCGTTAGAATTACATGATGACCCTAACCACAGCATAACCAACCTTCTTGGAATTGAAACATGTCAATTATATCATTGATATAACATCCTAGCACTTACTTTTATAGCAGTTCATTTAATTTGCTAGCCAACTAGCGATTTAGTTCTCCTTCCTTCTCGACAACATTGAACATTCATATTTTAAAATTTATGTTGTCCATTCCCATGACCTAAACCAATAAATCCTAAGTCTTAAAAATGCTCTGTACACCATTTAAGAACCCCCATGAAACTCCAGAATTACTCTTTAACCCCGGAAGTATCAAAAAATTAGAGCTGGCTCCCATGATGGGGAGCCGGCTCTACCTTCATGGAAGCTGGCTCCCTTACTTA